CATCACTGATCACATTTTCTTTCTCCAAGGAGCTCAAGGGGTTTACATGGGGCTGTCCTCACAGCGATTTTGCGAGGTGAAATCACGAGAGGATGATTTTCTCAAGGCCACTTCACAAACTTCATGGCTGAGGAAATTATTTGAACTTGGGTGCCTCTGAGTCACAGCGAACCGCTGTTGTGCCTCAGTGTTAAGGACCAGAATGGTGCAGCAGCAAAGACTGCTGAGCTGAGGCCAGGGACAGCCACATTCAAACCCCAACTCTGCCTGAAACCACCCTGGGTGAAAGTCTCCGACTAGCCTACCTCGCAGGGTGGAACACTTTCCCTATGAGGAAAGGTTAAGGCGCTTAGGGCTCTTTAGCTTGGAGAAACGACGACTGAGGGGTGAAATGATTGAGGTTTATAAGATTATGCATGGGAAAGAGCAGGTAGAGAAAGAGGTACTTTTCTCCCTTTCTCACAATACAAGAACTCGTGGGCACTCCATGAAATTGCTGAGCAGTCGGGTTAGAACGGATAAAAGGAAGTACTTCTTCACCCAAAGAGTGATTAACACTTGGAATTCACTGCCACAGGAAGTGGTGGCGGCTACAAGCATGGACGGCTTCAAAAGGGAATTAGATAAGCATATGGAGCAGAGGTCCAACAGTGGCTATTAGCCACAAGGTATAGATAGGGACTCTGGGGCAATGTGATGCTCTGTCTTCTTGGTGCTTGGGGGGGGGGGGGTCAACAGTAGGAGGGCTTCTAATGTCCTGGCCCCACTGGTGGACCTCCTGATGGCACTGGTATTTCTGGCCACTGTGTGATACAGAGTGTTGGACTGGATGGGCCGTTGGCCTGATCCAACATTGGCATCTCTTATGTTCTTATGTTAAGCAGAGGAGGGATATAAGCCACCCTGAACTCCTTGAGGAGGGTCAAGGCAAAAATGTGGTAAACAACATTTAAAATTTCAGCCATGGCCTGAAATGACAAAAACTGCACAATACCCCGTCTGTATTCCTGGCCTTTAAGGTATCAGCAAGTGGGGAGTCGTTGTAAGGCCAGCTGTAAGTCACCACCACATTCAAGGCATTTTCAATTCATCTCAATAAAAGAGGTCAAGGGCTGGAGATTTTCTTTCAACACAATGCGCAAGATTTATCAGGTTATGAGGCAAGGCAATCAAACCAACAGCTGAAGCTTCCGTGGTTGTGCCATTAGTTATGAAAAATCAAGGGTATTAAGGAGATGAACATCGTGCAGTGTATATCAGACAATAGAGCAAGTTATGACCAGCCTACTACAAAGCTGCAGTACGTGTTAGAATATTTTGCCCTCTGACTAGCATGGCTTGACATTTAACTTGATTATAATTTAACATGCAATAGTTGCCTTCCTGTAGGAGAGCTGCACTGACGGAAGGTTACTTACGTTATAAACACATGTCATAAGGAAACAAAAAATATTCTAAAATGAATTAAAATACTTAACTGCTTGATTGTATAGATCAGACTAGAACAGCACCAGTTACCACCATTTCAATTCATCTAGGCATTGGGAGAGGAAAGCAGGAAGAAATCAAGGAAGTCTCTTGGCAAATGACCCTAGGCAGGGCACTCTATAAAGGAAGATGTCACCACAGAGAAGGCTCTGTTCCAGTCCCCATCAACCTCATTTGGTAAGGGAAAGAATACAAATCAAGGGAGTCTCACCAAATCAAAGAAGATGAAGAGGTACAGATAGGAGAAGGTGCTCCCGAAAATCTGCATTACCCTAAAAAGGGAAAACACTCATACTGCCCAACTCCTTAAATGGACCTTAGTTCAACAGAGAATGCTTTACAGAACCAACCTTGAACTGCTCCTCTAACTTCTCACGAAGAGGGTTCAATTTCTCCAAGTTCTTACTCAGGTACACATGACCATGGAATTTTATAAATGCCTTGATGAAATCAGACACTCCCCATTGAGTCTTCACCTCATCACGACTGCAATTGGAAAGGAGAGGAAATAGTATTTTAGTCTTTAGTTGGTTCTAAACAGTAATACATATTTCACAATTATACAGCATGTATGTCCAGATATGCCCTGACCTGGGTAGCACAGGCTAACCCGATCTCATCAGGTTTCTGAAGCTGAGCAGGGTTGGCCTTGGCTAGTATTTGGAAGGGCAACCTCCAAGGAATACCAGGGTCGTGACACAGAGGGAGGCAACGGCAAACCACCTCTGAAACGTCTCTTGCCTTAAAAAACAAGTCTATCTCACCACCTAGTGGTGCGTAATGCTAAAAGAGCGAGAACGTCTGAATACCAGACAATATTAGGATTTCCTGGCTATGCTACACACACTGCCACACAATAATTATTATTAATTATTATGTTCAGACATAGAATTATATACAGATATGTGCATTTACATAAGCCTGTGTGGTGTAGTGGCCAGAGTGTAGGGACTACGATCTGGGAGACTCAGGTTGGAATCCTGTCTCTGCTGTGGAAGCTTGCTGGATGACCTTGGGCCTGGATGACAGCCTCACTGACCTCACAGGGTTGTTGTGAGGATAAAATGGAGACTATGTATGCCACATTGGGTCCCTACTGGGCTCAGGGAGGGCGCAGATAAAGCAAATAATTTTTTAAAATATTAATATATCAAAGTCCAAAGAGAGGTGTGACATTAAATAGAGTGAAATTTCTTAGAACGAGACCAAATTAAAAGGATTTGTCTGAAAAGGAAACTAAAAATCTCTTTTCTGACTTCACTCCTGTATACGTACTCGGTACAGTTAATGAGAATTATGTAAAAGATGTGCATACACACATCAAGATGCTCAGACAGAAATCAATAGTGCTTTCACATGAGTAACTACTTTGCATTTATTAAAATATTTATAAACCACCTTTCTCAGCTGAGATCCAAGGCTTTATAGAATTGCAACTTAGAACAGAAACCTTTGCTTCTACTGCTAGCAGCCGTAGGCATTGTGTCCTTAGAGAGGAAAAAAAATCTCTGATATGTACAACTGCATTGCTAAAGTCTATGTAACAGGCTACTCTCTACAAAGACCATATCATCCTTACCTTTCCAGTGCTTTAGAAAGTGCTTTTTGTAGATTGGTAGAGGCAGCTGGGAAAGGAAACTTCACAGCAATGCTTCTGCAGTAGTAGAAAATTGTGGTCAGGTGGTCTCCTTTGGAGGATGCCAAAATAGCCAACTGATTATAAGGCTGACCTAAGGTAACAAGAAGAAGGAAAAAAAGTCTCTCCTGGAACTCTCAACTTACTTTTGCAACTACAGATTCAGTGTTCAGGCAAAGGCCTATTTCTGGTAGCCTCAGGCTGTTATCCTAAACCCACTTACCTGGAAGTAAGCCCTATGAACATAGTACGGCTTATGTCTAGCAGACATGCTGCCAGTCTATTTGCTCAAATGGCAGATATAACTTTAAAAACCTAAACATTTTGTTAGTAAATGAGCAGTGTATTCCACTTTGTATTCAGTTTAGAAAAATGTGCATGCTGGAAGTAAGCCCTATGAACATAGTACGGCTTATGTCTAGCAGACATGCTGCCAGTCTATTTGCTCAAATGGCAGATATAACTTTAAAAACCTAAACATTTTGTTAGTAAATGAGCAGTGTATTCCACTTTGTATTCAGTTTAGAAAAATGTGCATGCTTTTCAACTGCATAACATTCTATTCTAAGCAATTTCAGCATCAATTAAAAATTAGCCTGACAGAAGACATAAAAGGAAATAAAAGGCCTTTTGTCATCCCTTTATCAACATTTATTAAAAATGGGACAATCTGTTTAGTAACCAAAGATGACCCCCCCCCTCCAGTTACGTTAATGCAATCTGTACCAGTTTGAAACAGAACATTTATAAAGTGGTTTTTAGCTCCATGCAGATTGAATAAAATCTTTGGGGTTGATAAATATATGTTTAGAATGTGAAATGGTTTGCCGATTTTAGATGTATGTA